GCAACAAAAAATTAACAACTTGAAAACTTCACAAATGTTGCATCAAGTTTTTAACTGTAATATAATCAAGGGAAAATCTCAAAAAAGATATTTAAAATGTATTAAAAAAACAAATTACAGAGCTGAATTCGCATAATATCATATTAGGATGGGTGGACCAATTTGAAATATTAAAATATTATAAGAGACGCTATTGCCCTTAAAATATGAAAGTGAATTATAACAATTTTTCAGGCATTACTTAAAGCAAATAAGATATTAACAAAATGAGTTAAATATTTTGATTACCCTTCTAATTTGCATCAATTACATAAATCTTTATTTTATTTTAAAAACATACAGTTTAGTCTAATCAATTAATACCGTTAGGAATATTTTAAAAGATTCTAAGAAAATTATTTTTCACTAAAATTTATATTAAAATAAATTTTATTTATTATTTTACTCCTCATTCTAATAAATCACTAAATTATATTTTTATAGTTACAAAAATTTTATTTAGTTAGCGTAAACATAAAAGACTTGACTTGATTAAAAATTTGACCAATCATCTCAATAAATATATATATATATGCACACACTTGACTAAATATGTTTATAAATTCTTGTAAAAAAATGTGTTTAAAGTTTTTGAGTTATAATTTTAAATAATTTATAAAATATTTTGAACTCTAAACAAAAACTATGTATTCAAAATATGTTTTTATAATTTAAAAAATTAATAAAATAAATAATTTTTAATGAATGTGATAAAAATTTAAACTTATAAAATTTTATGATTTAAATCAAAATTAATAAATTTTATAACATATTATAAATTTCAAAATATAGAGTATAATTATTTTTTAATTTTATAAAAAAATATTTATACAAAATATAAATGTCTAAATAATTGTTATGTTAAAAATGGGTATTTTGGTTAAAAAAAATTAAAATCAAACTTAGTGGTCAATTAATGATTTAGGTGGATAGAAACAGAATCTTAAATATAGGAGAGAGGTTTGTATAACATACATTTTAATTTTAAGGAAGATTTATATACATTTTCAAAATAGAGGGAATATTTCTGTAATTGAGATAAAATAGGACGTGGCCGGTGTATTTTATTCTAACAAAAATTATTCCTCAATAACAACTTGTATTGATAGTTCACACTTGAATAAAATTAAGGTCCTAAAACTTGAAAATGGATTATAATAAACTATTAATAAAAGTTAATTTTTAGTTCACAATTGGGTAAATTAAATTCTTAAAATATGAAAGTGATTGACAATAATTTTTCAGGTATTAACAAAAATTGATTTCTTCATAACAATTTTTTATTAACAGTTCACATTTACGTAAAATTAAAATTCTAAAACTTGAAAGTAGATAATAATAAGCTATTAACAAACTTAATTTCTCAATAATAACTTTTATTAACAGTTCACACTTGCTAAAATTAAAGTCTTAAAAATTGAAAGTAATCGACAACAATTTTTCGGGTATTACTTCAAACGAATAAGTTATTAACAAAATTTGACTTCTCCATAACAACTTTTATTAGGTAAAATTTAAAGTTTTAAAACTTGAAAATGGATGACAACAGTTCTTCAAGTATTGCTTAAAACAATTAAGCTATTAATAAAAATTAATCTCTCAATAACAACTCTTAAAACAATTTTTTTTTATATAACTTAGGAATAGTGGCATCTTTTAACATTTTAATATTTTAAATTGGTCCACCCATCTTGATATGGTATTATGCAAATTCAGCATCCTGATTTGTTTCTTATACATTTTAAAAATCATTTTATGGGGAAGCCTTAGATTAGAATCTACAAGCTGTTGGTTGAGGTGATAAACAACCTCATTTCTGTAAGGAGAAAAACACATATTCAAATCCTAAAAAACACGCTTGTTGGAAAAAAAAAAAAAGGAGCAAAAATCCTTTGCATTCTAAAACTCAAAAAAGGAAACCTTGATCAGATAAAAAAAATAATATTTGTATTACCGGATTTGATTGCCACCATTTATTAAGATACGTTGTTTTCTTTTGTTGCTTTCAATTTTTTAGTTGTACAACACTGATTTTGTGCTGTGTGATCTATACTCATTCCATGTTTAGTAGGAACATTAACGGCTGCGTTAATTTTTACGATTTTCATCCAATTGTTTCTTTTGGAAAACAAAATCATGATTTTAATGGTATAAATAGGTAAAGAAACAAATTTCAAATTATACAAATATTCCCCTCAATTTTGATAATTTACATAATATTCTCTTATATTTTCAAAACTTATACAATCCTCCACAGAAACAAAGATCAAATTAAACAATTTTTGTTAATTTCAACAACTTACGTGAACCTCTCCTAGCAATCGAAATGAGACTTTGTTAATGGTCAATATCAATATTTTAATGATTAACATTAATTTTAACAGTAGGGATTGCTACAATTTAAAACTTCTGGAATAAGTTCGCACTTAAAAAAACTTTCAAGTCACTAGTGCTTTTGATGAAAGAAAACTTTATGAGCAAATTTGTACCTTAATGTAATTTTTTTTCGGTTTCATCATACAGATATAGAAGTATTTTGAACAAAAGTTCACATAATTTTGGTAAACATCATAAAGTACATACAACTGATTCATAAAAATTAATTACCACAATTTGCCTGCCTTTGGGAAATGATGCTATGCCGTCAACCCCCCCGCCCCCAAAACCTTTTACCTTATAAAAAGATGAACGCTTTACAACTTAGAAGGAAATTATAAAACAAATTAAGCATTAATATATTGCATTCTCCAAAATGGTACCAAAGATTCATTATATTTTCTGTTTTTTTTTTACCCTTCAAGATTCATGATATCTTTCAGTCATCAATTAGAAAATTGCACATGCTTTGTGAACATGCAGTTCTGGGGAACGTGTGAATATAAAGTCATATATAAACCCTTATAGGTTAATGTATTTTATTATCTATCAACCAAAAAGAACTAGAGAGAGATTTGGAAAGGCAAATTGAAATTGCTTCAGAATGGCAACAAGATTTTCTCAAGCGTTTATGGGGATTCTTATATGCTTTCATCTAGTTGTTTCAACCTCAGGTAATTATTCTAGCTTAATCTCAATTTTCAAGTTATGAATGGTTTCTCGTATTGTCGATCAAATGTGCATATCAATAATAGGTATAAGGGGGAAAAAAATATGCGGGTCCCTGTAATTTTATGATATTTTTAATTATATGTAGTTTTTTTCATTAAATCCCCATACTGTTTTTAATTATAGGTATTCGTAATTTGTTAATTTGTAAGAAAAATAATGTTGGTAGCTGATGATACAACTGACTTTCACTTAACATACACTTGAGCTAATTGTGCCACGTGAATATAAATAAAATAAGAATTAACCAGACATTGTATTTTTTGACATTTTAAGGCGACATTGAGTCCACAAAAATTCTGAATACCTGCAACTCTTTCACAAATACTTTTGGATAAAAAATGAACCTGAACCCCTCTATATTTTATATCTCCATAAATAAGTGCGGTCTATTGTGTCGAACAATGCAGGGCAATTACCAAGTGATATTGTTCCTGATGAGTATTTGGAATGTAACGGATGGGATTGCTCTGAGCCTTTAAAATGTGATCAAACTAGCTCTACCAAGGGCTATCTAACTCAATTTCAATGTTGCTGCAGAAAGAATGCTGTGGGGCATTGAATTATATGACCTTCATTTAAACATTATATGATGAATAATATTAATAACGAGGATGTTGGTATGTTCATGTGTCTTTGTTCATCACCATTTGGAGAAGCTAAATAAATTTCAAGCGGGGAAAATTATGACAGATGTCGTTACAACCTATTAAATGAAGGGGGGAAATGAATTTTAATGGAAAGTTCATGTAAAAATGAGAGTAACATCCAGATAATGAATTAAGAGACCCTTCAATATTAAGCTCTCTTGCAAAGCAATTAATATGGCCTCGTCTGTCTCATGAAATTCGCAACATTTCGTAAATTCATAACAAAAAGTAGAGGTATGAAATATTGAAGTTACTTTTGTTGATAGTTTCAAGTTAGCTGCCCAGGCAAATATGAGCTGCTAGCGTAGCAGTACCGGTTGAACCATCATGCAAACTCACTAATGGCTCAGTTTGGGTTCAACCAGGTTGGACCAAAGTCAAGGTTCTCCTATACTGCATGCTTATTTAAATTAAGCTAGGAATAGCAACAAATTGTTGATTGAAATTATAAACAGTCTCATTCCATAAAGAGGAGAACCTTAATGCTCCTGAATAGAGATTAGTTTCAAATCTAAAGTGATTTGAGGATATTCTAACTTGTACCAAAGTCCAATTCATCTCAGTTGGCAGCTTGTGGGGGCCTTATCCGCGATCATGAAGGCACTTGGGTTGTGAGATTTTCTTATTAACTTGGCATCTATTCTCCCCATGAAGCCAAGGAATGGGGAATGTTAAAGGGTCTCAATCCTGCAATCCAAATGGGTTTCAACAATCCTGTAGAGGAATCTGATAACCAGAATTTAATACACTCACTCAGATTGGAATTCTCACTCTACAACTTGCTCGACAACTTTGCTAGAGGTGAAGAGGTTGCTTTCTCTGCTAAGAGAAGCTCATCTCCAGTATGCTCTAAGAAAGTGTAATGTTATTGCAGATGCTCTAGCCAAGATGGGTTTCACTGGCACGGTCATCTATAACACAAATCCTCCTAACTTGAGGACTCTGGTGCAGAAAGATTTATTGAGATTGCAATCCCCTACTACTTAAATTTTCTCTTTTAGGCTTTTTGCCTTCTTTTATACCCAAAAAAAAAAAAAAATTAATTAATTAAGCTAGGGATAAGTCTGCACAAGGTAGCCAGAAATTAGATCAGGAACCAAAACAATTTTTGGTAAACCAAACGATATTTTGACTTGATGGAAATGTACTTGAAACATAAAATAAAACGTATAAAAATAAAAAATTTGACCCTATCAAAGCTCAATATATTTTCAAACCATAATATATTATTTCATTGAAGACTTCTTATATTATAGTATTATTATGTTGACCATTAAACTTATTATGAATCTGTTTCTCATATATAGCAAAACAAATCTACAACACAACAAACACAGTATGAATAAATGTAACCAAAGGATCAAGTATGATCATCATGAAGAAAGTAACCTTAATGCATGCAAGTTTACAGAACTTCTAACGGCCTCTCCCTTTCCAAAATAAGATCGGCTTAGAACATTACTCCAACATGTCTTTGCCATAGCTTCTCTAATGGAACTGCTCTCATGATTAGACTCTTCGATTCCTCTTTGTCTTGAGCTTAACTGCTTAAGTTGCTGGAGTGTAGAACAATCACAAGCATCAATCTCCTTTCCAACTAAATCTTTAACAGTCACAAAACACTAGCCCTTTTCCATCACTGTCAACCAAATTTAAACCGTGTATAATTACTGAGATTCTGCATGGACTCCTGAAACTGATCAGGCAATAAAAAGCCAGGACAGATTAAATTCCTTCTCAAGAATTTGAAGTATCCCGAATAAAGAAAATCAAAGTACATGCAATACATCATGTTTACAAATTTGCATGAGATAGGGGTTGTTTTCAAATAAAAAATGGACATATATCATTTCACAACAAAAATACAGGCACGAGAGAACTACATACAAACATTATGCACCTCGTCTCTACCAAAAGGTGGATGAGCAAAAGAATTGAAGTCAGAAATTTGCTCACGATCTAACTTAGCCAACCAATCAGCTTCTCCATTTTCCTCTCTATACAGAAAATTAACATGCAAATTCCTATACAAGGTCTTCTAGAACAGTCAATAATATCTTGAAAGGGATGATGACCATGGTTGCCTCTTGTGATTGTTGATATTGTACTTGCACAATCACAAAAAACCTCCACAGATCAATAGCCTTTCAACCAGCATAACTCTAAAAGCCCATAGCAATTGCGTGAGATACAAGTTCCAACCAAGGTTATCCAAGGGTAACTGGTAGAAATGAAAACTTTTGGTATTAATATTCAAGAATCCTCTATAGAAAAGGGAAACTAAAAGCAACAATGAACTGTAAACACACTGAAACAAGTTATGACCCACTTTTCCCCTCCTTCAATAAACCTTGCCACACAAAACAGTAGGCCCGCCCATCAGTAACTTTTAAGCCTAAAAGGCTAAAAAAGGACCAATAACACCAAATTATCCATGTGGTGCCAAAACATTACCCAGGGTACTGAATGGAAGAGCAAAAGAACACACAGACCATTATATACTACAGCAGTGAAGCATATTTTGGAAGTTTATAACTAGAAAACTTACATACGCAGCTATAGCCAAAAGTGTGGACAGTTGCTATGACGTCAAAAGCCTCATTTTGACAATAGGATATTACTAACTTCAACATCAGCACTAACATAAATTAATGAACCATGGCAGTTACCTGTATTCGGCATCTCTAAACAAGAATCTGCCAGCTACCAGCTAAAGACTACTAGTCTGTCCTCCAGATGCCTACAGATAGATACATGAGGAACTCTTACATGCTGTAAATCAGCAGGTTAACCTGAGACTAATTAATACAGCACGCCAGTAGTACCATCATGAAATTATCATCTCATCCTCCTCTGCCAATTTGCATTATTGACGAAGGAAAGGCTGCATATGATGAGTCAAGCAAATTGTTAACTTTATGCTTAGTTGCTCATCGTTTTCTCCCTCTATTATGCCTCAAGAAATTCAACTTTTTCCAGGCAATCATCAAAAACTCATTCAATCGATTCGTGCCTCCAGACCAATCCAAAGGTACCAATCCTCTATCCTGTAAATCCTTTAAAAGCTTTTCCTTTTCACCGTTAAAATTTCCATCACAGGCAGAACAAATAAGAACCGTGTAAATTGATAAATTGGGCCACAGATGCCTTTGCTTCATTTCTTCATAAAGTTTGAAAGCAGCCATAACATCACCATTGGCACAAAAGCCAGAAATAAGAACATTGTACGCAGCTACATCAAGCTTCATACTACAGCACTCCATTATACTTCTCAGGTAAAAAACCTTCTCAAGGTTACCTTCTTTGCAACAAATGTGCATCAGAGTAGTGAAAGTAGCAACAGTTGGAATCATCTGACTTCGAAGCATGAAATCAAGAACTAGAATGGCATCTTCAATATTCCCAGAGGATGCAAGCCCCCTAACAATTGCACTCTCAGCAACATCATAAGAGCAGACACCAAGTGTTTTCATCTCATCCTTTAGCCTCATTGCTCCCTGTACATTTCCCACTCTACACATGCCATTTATTAAAGTGACATACTGTCTACATGTAGGAATACATCCAATTTCCAACAAGGAATGCAGAATACGATGGGCTCCCCTAAAAGCGGAAACTCTAACTAGTCCATTGAAAAGGGCATTGTATGTATCAACACTACACGCAACTCCTAGCCGTTCCATTAGATCTACCACATCAAATGCCAATTTTATCTCATCCTTTCCACATAACTTGGTAATAAGCATGTTAAAAGTATAAGTATGAGCTACTAAACCATCAATTGTCATGCTTTTCAAAAATTTTACAGCAACTTCCAATGCATCAGACAAACAAAGAATAAGAGAATGCCATGTTAACCTATCAGGTAGAAAACCTTGTCTGATCATGTCTTTATATACCCTAAAACAATTTGTCATGGCATGCGTCTTGGCATATCCATGCAGAAGAATGTTGTAAGTAGCCAAACTGAAAGATAAATTTCTGCTCCTCATGTCTGAAAGGATATTATTTGCCTCAACCATTTGTCCCATCTTTGAATAATGATCCAGAAGCACATTGAATGCAATAGTGTCGAGCTTAACACCATTGTTCAGCATCTCTTCAAAAGTAAACAAAGCAACTCTAGAATGACCTGCCTTAAATAAACCACTAACTAACGCAGTGTATACAGCAGGATTTGGTGTTAGTAATCCTTTTTCCATTGCTTTCTCTGACAAAATGAGTGCAGCAGCTAATTTACCATTCCTGCATAGCCCAGCAATAAGACTAGTATATGTGTAACTGTCAGGAAGCAAATTATTCATCACCATCTCATTTAAGAGACCAATTGCATCCAACAAATTTCCTGATCTACACATCTCAGAAAGTAATGTATTGTAAGAAACAGTATCAATTGCAGAAGGTTGGCAGTGAAGTCTATGCAAGAGGCTTTTTGCCTCATTAATATGTCCACCGATGCAAAGTCCTTTCAATAGACTCCCAAATGTAAAATGGCTTGGAAAATGGCCAATAGTAATCATTTCATCTAACAAAGAAAAGGCTTTTAACGCATCACCCAAAACCGCATAACCATTTATGATACAATCAAGAGTAATGCGGTTGGGATCAAGACCCATCCTACTCATGTGATGCATGAAATACTCAGCCTCTCGAACTTTTCCACTTCTACAAAGACTGGCAACCAACACATTGCATGTAAAGTGATCTGCAACATGACCTTTGCGATTCATCACTGCATATGCATTTAAAGCCTCTCTTGTGTTCCCCGTTTTGCAATAGTTGTATATTAATGTTGAGTACAGAATGCAGTTTGGCACAAGTCCTGCCTTATACATTTTACACATTATCTCCTTTGCATTATTTATCTTCCCCACCTTTAAAAACCCATTTATAAGCACTGAAAATGTGACAACATCAGGGTCTATAGAATCTTTCAACATATTATTTAGCACCAGCACAGCTTCATTTAGTAAACCATTTTTACACATACCATCAATAATTGTTGTATAACTTATACACTTAGGTCTCAACCCATTCAACCTCATTTTCTCCAGAATACTGGAAACTAGGCCAAATTCAGCATGCCTGGATAACCCTTTCAGAAGTGCCCCATAAGTCATTTCATTAGGTCGTAGGCCTTGTGATTCCATCAAATCCAAAAGTCTCAATGCTTCACCAATATTACCCTCCCTACAATGCCCATCAATTAAAATATTGTAAGTGATGGAGTTTGGTGATAAATTAAGTAATGACATCTCATCAAAAACACAAGTAGCAACTTGAATCTTCCCCTCCTTAACAAAGCCATTAATCAGTGTATTATAAGTAATCGCATTAGGATATACATCATTCATTCTCATCCTTTTCAGTAATAGATAACCTTTTGCACTCCTTCCATCCCTACACAAACTATCAATGAAAACATTATATGTACAAACATCTGCTATGATGCCCCTTGAGGCCATGTGGTCAATCAGTTCAGACGCTGCTTTATACCTTCCTTTCTTGCAATACCAATTCAGCAGAGTATTATATGTAAATACAGTTGGAAAATAACCACTGTCTTCCATTTTCTTTAACAGATAACCAGCACTTTTAAACTTCCCTTCTTCACATAAAACATTTAACAATATGTTCAGTGTAGCAACATCGGGATGAAACCTACTGGCCAGCATTTCTTTGAAAAAAGACCAAAACAATTCAACTTTCTGGTCTTTTACCAATGACCCTAGCACCATGTTGCAAGTGGACATAGATGGCTTTAACCCACGTAGTCCCATCAATTTGAAAGTATATACAGCATCTCCAACCATCCCTTCCCGTAAACAAACCCTAATTAGGAGGTCAAAAACAGCTGGGCTTGAATTGCAAAAGGGGTATGTCTCCATCAGGCCATAAAATACAGAGTTAAAACCAATGGGCATGTGTAAAAGATGTTTTAAAGCAGACTTAGCAAAGCTGTACATTCGAGCTCTAACTAGTATGTGTGTTGTAGTGCACACTATATGGGTAACATGATTGAGCTCCAAACCAGGTTGCCTGATGACCCATTTAAGAAATTTCAGAGCTAACCTTCCATGAACAGGTCTGAGGGCAGTCAATCTGTATTTCATAAAATTCAGTGACTCCCAACGGTCGATAGTCAAAATTGTATATATACTCTTCTCCATATCTGAAACTGTTGAATCCAAAAGGTACAAGTTTGACTCTGAATCGAATGCAAAAAGTAAAACAATGAGGTTCAGAAAGCTTGATTTACAGGAATCATAATCGCAGGTGTGATTAATGAAAGAGATAAAGGGGCAAAGGAGCCTACCTTGATTCAAAAAGAATAATTACTTGCAGATACTTGTCCTCTCCACTGACAACAGATGAAGCTGCCATCAGTCTCAGTATTAGGATCACTGGTCATCTAGTAATCTGCTTTGAAGTCGTTGATAGAAATTCTACAGAATCATCATCACATGATAATTAATTTATCAACTGATGCCACAGACAATTCAGATTCCATAATCTGGCTTCCTAAAAATATAAATACAAAGAGGCTATAAAGATTTTTCTCCCCTAAAAATTATGCTACGCTGGACACTGTTTTCTTCCTTATTGTTGAAAATTAAATCTTCAGTCTAATGAACACAAAAAGTCTAACGTAGCTGTGAATTTGATGTCTGAACCTGATCAATCAACCTTCTCAAGACTCCTACTTTTATCTATGACATTCATCGTGTGTTTCAAACTCTTACTATTTTTCCAAGACTTGAAGTGGATCAGGGGTTACCTGATTTACGATAGGAAGCTCTGCCAATGAATTTAAAGAGCTTTGTTTGCTGAGCAATCTCAACCACAGCAGAGCTATTTCTTCTCAGGAGAAGTTTAAGAGCCATGTTATCACACCCCTAAACCTGGAGGTAAACGAACACAATTAAATGGAGTTCATATGTCTGTCAGCCTACAGAACCAAAGGTAATTAAACCATGACAAAGAAAACTCCCATATAAAATATAGGAGGCTTCCACCAGATATTGACCAAGCCTGCCCTGAGATACAGGCCTTTCCCGTTTAATACAGTGACCCACTATCCATACAGATTTTTACGAGCCATGCTCCCTACATGCACCACACACTTAAAATCATTAGAGCCATGCCATGGCAACATGACAAAGGGATAAAGAACTATCATCAACCTTAGTTGTAGCAAACGTTATTCCTTATTTGCATCAATTTCATTCTAGCTCACTATATCATCTACACAAAAAAGTACATTGCCTGCCCAAAAACCCTCATTCAATAAGAGAATGGAAATATGGTAACTCATTCAAGATCCAAGTCGGATTAATGTGTTTGACCTCTTGGATTCTTATTCATCTCAATGCCTAAAACTACTTTCAATCTTACTCTATTTATAGTAAATTAAATATAATGATAGAGCATTTACATGATACTGAACAATATAACTTGTTACTAACGACACAGTAAAATCAAGTAACAAATTCTGGACTTGATTTTATCTTCACACTATAGTAGACGCGAAACTCATGAGTCATGAGGTGAAGATCAATGAAGAATAAGATATGATAGATACTCCATCTCACTGTCTAGGGGAGAAAGTTTTGGTAAGAGTATTAATTAACACTGATTGTGAGAGACCAAAACCTCAATAACTTTCTGCTTCAGAATTTAAAATTTTAAAAACCACAAGTAACCAACTTTAGTGACATTTAAATAACTTAATCATCAATATTAATAAATGTTGAGCTTTTGGGCTGAATTCCAAATTACTGAATCAAGGGTGGAAATATATGTAGCCCAACACTAATAAATTATCAAATAAAGACTAAAACCCCACCAACTAAGGTGCGACTTGAGCTCAAAAGTATAGGAAATAATAAAACATACTAAATTCATTAAGCGAATAATTTGGGATGATTATTAAGATTCACATTAAGTAAGGAACATAGAGCCAATTATATTCAAACTCCACTACAAGAAACATTGAGTAAGCCACGGAATTACCAACTGGATTCAAAATTACCAATGGAATTTCTGACAGAATCTATTCCATTGCTAATTTTTCTGTCACACATATTTTAGCGACAGAATTTTTAATTCCAATGCTAATTTACCCACGCATTTCTGTCAGAAATTATATCAGTAATTAGTGACGGATTTTGGACAGAAATTTTCCCTCACAAATTTCCAACGGAATTCCGTCGAAAGTTAGCCACGAATTACCACAGAATATTCCATGGCTAATTAGCCACGAAATTCCGTAGGAAATTGTTGATGGACATCTGATGGAATATTGAATTATCTAAACTTGTGCAAGCAGGAGGTGGCCTAGGGTGGAATAAATTGCCCTGATAAGGCAGTGAAGAAGATAAAAACGAAGGGAAAAAATAGATAGTTGGGTAGAATATGATAAAAGATTATATATTTTATGTAAACTTCTGCTCCCTATATAGTATCATAATTAATCAAGCTTTGAAAAAAAATTGAAAAGGAGGACGAAAGGAAAAAATTCGGGTTAAATCAAAAGGCGCAAGATTGCATGTCTGTATTCAAATTTCAAAATGCTGTCGCATTTAATAGAACTCAATACAAGTTGATGTATTATATAGGTTCAAAACTTGAAGATGGGGCCTCATTTGAAATTTCAAAACGTGGTAAAACAAAATAAGAAAGTTGACCCTTCAAAAGGAATAAAGAAACAATGTAAAACAGCAATGTCTTTGCCTTTAATGCGAACAAGAGAATCCTGAGACTTTAGTTCGCTTTTCGTCAAATTCAGACAGAACTACCTGCAGTCTCCATCAATCAGTAGAGCAGAAGTATTATATAGTTCTAACTATAAAGAAGCATGTGAAATCCCGATCTAAACATCTACATGCGGCGGAAATATTGTATAGTTCTAATTGACAGGTATACCTTTAGGAGGCTCTGGATACCATGTGACTATTACGCGGGAAAATGATGAGATACGTTCTCATCAATGAAATCAATATATATACAGACACATACACTCAAAAAATATATATATATAGACACACACTTATATACACACATACAAGAGTGTTTGGGAACTATGTACATCACAACTCTAACACTATATTTGGTACGGGTTTTTCAGAGAAGAGAGGACAGAAGCTGCTCCCCTCCTTTTGTTTGGCTAGTATAATTTTTTAGTAAGGGAGGAGAGTTGCTCCCATTTCCTTATTTGATTAAGATATTTTTTAAATAGAGAAGGGACTCTTCTCTCCTTCCTTTTTCTTTCTAGCCTCCCCTTTAAAAGTAGAGTTTTTTTGGAGAGGGAATAAGAGATAAAATTTTAAATTTCAAGATTAACCTAACTAAAATATTTTAATTCCTCGTATATCCTTTTGATTTGTTAGCCTCTAATTAATTGTAAATATTTTTATATAAGAAAGTTCTTTTAAACATCTAACAAAAGGTTGTTGAGATAATTGTCTTCAAAATTAGTGAATATTCCTAAACCTTTTTTTTTTTTCTAATTTCAAAAAGTCGTTGGTATTTTTTTCCACCTTCAAAGTCTTTTTTTTAATTGAAATATATTACTCACAACTTTTTATTTTGATATCCTATATGTGACTGTCTTATAAATTAAAATTGGTGAATTATATTATATATACAATTATATCTGATAAAATAAAAAAGTATCCTTTTAAATTTTATGAGATTAAAATAGTAAATTTTTTATTAGAACAAAATAAGTAAGATATTATTAAAATTCTTCCTCCCCTTTCCTCAATCAATCCAATCCAAAAGATTATTAAAATCCCCCCCTTCCTTTCCCCTCCCAGCGTAACTGAATACATTGAGATGGTTATATGCTTGTCACTAATTGCAATTGCAAATTCATTCCAGAAAGTCAAAAACAGGCACTCTTTCCCAAGCATTGAAAAAATTAAGGTCCACGAATTCCACTCCCTCAGTAGAGCAGAGAAACATGAAACTTACCTATTGACGACCCACGAGGGAGGACCCACGAGCTAGATGAGAACAGAGGAGGAGGGGAGATTAGATATGAGAAACTAGAACTTCATCGTCGAATTCGAGGGGAAGAGCTGGAGAGTAAAGTGGACGGCGCTGAGCTTCTGTAATTTGGGAGTGGGACTGTCGAGTGTCGATGGACATATCTGAAGGGGGGGAGGAGTGGACGCGGGCAATGCTCTGGCTAGTGAGGTGCGACCGTACGAGCTCAAAGCTGGAGTGGAGGCGGAGTGGACTCTCGTTGGCCGGCTGCTGCTAGGTTAGGCGCCGCAAGCGGATGAGGAAAGAGTTCTGAACAGAGACACGGAGCGTGAGCCCCTCGTTTTTATTAAGATCGGGATCGAAAAAATACGTTTACAATAAGTAATTATTATCCATACGAATTGTCTAATACTATTTAAGAGGTATTTGGATAAAATCAAATTATGATTTGAAAAATAGTTTCTGGAGAATAAATTCTAAGAAGAATAGATTTTGTGAAATAGTAATTCTGAAAAGTGAGAGTGTTTAGATAGTCGTTACCAGAAATATTTTTTACATGTGCAAATTACTAAAAAAGACATAAGTTAATATGATAATTATATAAGAGATAGATTTTATAATATATTTTAATTTGAAGGAATAAAATTGTTAATAAAATAATTTTTACTAACATAATTAATAATATATAAGATAATATAATTAACAAATAATTAATATGTGTATATATTTATAAATTATAAGATTAAATATGTTTATAGAAAAATAATTCTTTTTTCTAACAGAAAAATATTAATTTTCTTTAAATATTTTCTGGTAGAAAAACTGAAAAAAGAATAAATAACAACGTACTACCTCTTTTTTGGTCCCAAAAAAAACAACATACTACTTCTGAACAGTAAAGCACCGAAGACAATATACTACCTCTAAACAGTAAAGAACTGAAGGGGTATATATGTCTGGTCAAAATGCTTCTTCTTAAAACCAGCTGACACTCTCCTATTTTTTTCAGAAGCATATGCAAAATGCTTCTCACAAAATCATGGTTTTAGCGTCAAAATCATAGTTATTGATTTCTGATGGGTGTTTGGGTACATTTTTTCCGAACCATGGTTTGGAATGATACCCAGACACCCTTTTAGTAAAAAGTCACCTCTATTAGGTATCTTTTCAATATGTATTTTCAAACACAATCCCAATTGTTACCCCTTAGTCTTTATGTTTCGTATCGTGTTTAATATACATTAACGTCCTCACTGTTTAACTTAGATAGCTCCATTTTATTTTAAAAGCTTATATAGATTTTTCTTAAAATCAAAATATATATTATACAAACTTATCTTGTAATTTTGAGATCCACTTTCTATCAACCCCATCAATAAATAATGAGATTGACCCACTATTTTGACGAAAATGCCTTATCTTAACACAAATATTACTTAGTAATTATCATTTAATCATATATCTTTATTTGAAATTAAAAAAACAATTTTAATACATATTTTAGTATTTTTATTATATTATTAAATTGATTACTATATTATAAATTTAATTAATTTTATAAACACAAATTTTTATTTAATAATAGATATAAATTTTTAATCTCATAATTATATATATTAGCTGAAAATGTTTTATAATTGTATATGTGTATTTTCAATTAAATTATAAAGTTGTGACTAAATTTAGTGAAAATATGAAATAGATTACTAATAAATATTAATATTAAAAGATAAACCAGAGATTTAATATAATGAGTGGTAAAGTAATAAACAAAATTTATTCTACTATTATTTTTTTATTAGACAATATGCTTAAAGAATCTTTTCAGAATATTCTTTAATAGTCTTAATGGTTTGAACTGAAATGTATATTATCAAAATAAAGAAAAGATCCATGTAATTAAAGCAAAATAGAAAGATAGCCAAGGTATTTTACTTTTAATCTTAATAATTTTTCCAAAAAAAAAGTTTACTTTAGATAGGTTTTTATGTTTTTAATTTTAACTCTTATAGAGTCTTTAAAAAATTAAAATATATATACGCACTGGCTTTAATAACTTATATCAATTTTTTAAAGGTTAAAATATATATTTAGTCTTTTAATTTTATACAAGATTTTAATTTAATTTTTTAAGTTTAAAAAATTTTTTCTCCTTTAATCATAAAATCATTAGGTGTAAATAATGATTTGTTGTAACAATCATAATTTTTTTGAAAATTAAACTTAATATATTGGTATTTAAAAAGTTAAAATATATATATAGCCTAGATTTAATAACTTAGGTTAATTTTTTTTCTATAAAAAAATATATTAGCATTTAAAAATTTTTATCAACATTTATGACATTAATATCATCTTTTTTGTTAATAATTTTAAATTTATAAAACCAAAAGTATATTTTTTAAAGTTAAGGGATTAAATTGAAACCCTATATAAAATTAAAATATTAAATAAATACTTTAGCCTTTTATAAATTAATCTAAGTTATGATTTTCTTCATTTTATAAAATTGATGTTTTTATCAAAAACAAATTGGATTAATTTTATAAATTATAGAAATTTACTCAAGCCCTACTTCATATATCATCATAAAAAATTAGTCACATATAAAAGGATTCGATTACAAATCCTATTAGATATAATACTGATTTTAAGATAACTAGTTTCAAGATTGCAAATCTTATTCTATGAAGGTAAAACTTTTCCCAATCAACCAAAAAAAAAAAAAACAAGAAGAAGAAGAAGGCAAGACTTGGCAACTAGAGGCTGTTATTGAGGATATTTTAAGAAATTTACAATTCACAATGTTAGTTTTTCATTGTCATCATAATAGACATGTCTAGCAGTGTAGTCTTTCTATAGATCATCTTGAATCAACTCTCTGAACAATAGTTGGTCCATTATTTTATCTAAAAAGAAGAAAAAGACTACAAAAGCTTGCTATTATGGCATTATATACTCGACCGATTCCTCAGTCCATAAATTTTTTTTATTTGCACTTTAAGGCCACTCATAACTCCTTTTATGTTCTCTACTTCTGTATGATAATTCATTAGATTCTATCACATACCAATTTTAAGTCACAAGAACATCTTCTTGTCTTTTGCTCAAAGAAAAAGGTTATCAATTTGCATTTCTTTTATGCATGATATTTCTCCACTATTGCACAATACATTTCGATGATGCTCAACTCTTTTTCGAATTATGATATTTGTTCTTCTAATAGTGACTTCCTTAGAACCTTTTTCTATTTTTTTTTCATTTTTAGTTATTCTGATGTAGTACTTTAAAGTCTACTATTTAATATATACACACACATATATGGATTGTTTTTTATTTAAAAAAAATCCTATTTTATGATTTAATCAATATATATAATGTTGTCAAATATTGAGCACTATTACCATGAAAAAAGCCGCAAACAAAATTTGGGGTATATAATTATGCTCCCTAAATATTCTAATATATGTAAGTATGTGTCTAACCATCTGACTCACCGGTCTAAGTACTTCAGTATAATTACATAAACCAACTCAATCGTGATACTCGATATCAAGGCTAATCAAGTCTTGTCAAATTTCTTTCTAGCTTTCTTTTTTCCAAATTAGGTAGAGGCAAGCTGAACTGGGTTAATTAGGTTTTCAGCCCCATTGTTCACTCCTAATGCATACTATGATAGCATTATCATCATCGTCATCATCATTTGCCATCCATATGGTACGATTATTGATTCAATGAAAACATATTAATTAAATAAATTTTCATATATTTTAATAACACTAATGAAAATAGGTTTTTCATAGGGAAATGGCTAAAAAAGACCACCCAATATGTGAAATTGCTAAATGGGTTCCTTAATATAGAAAATTGCTTCAGCCGAACCTATACTAAGTTACAAATATGAAATGATGGTAAAATGTCTAAAATGTACCTTAGTTATTTAGACTCTTTAATGAAGGTAGAGACAAGAAATTTAATGGTATGAAAGCTAGGGAAGGAAGGGTTTGTGTGTGTGTGTGTGTGATATTGGGATTCAAGAGCTTCCAATATTGGCAATCAAGTGAGTAACTTATTGACTAAACTCTTCTTTTATTCTTCCCTCTAAGAGTTGTGAGTTGTGATATTCTTCATCTCTATCTTTGTTGTGTGGGTGGGTAGACTTCAGGAAGAGAGGGAAAGAAAGGTGTAGTTGAAGATGAAAGATATTAGTTGTAGGAAGTTGTGGTTAGTTTGAGGTGGAATATTTTTGTTTTTCTAGTGTGATCACTGATCTGTCATTTGTAGTGCATGGTGTTGGTGGTGATGGTGAAGGGTTATGAGTGTAATGGTTTGGCAGAGTGTGGGTGGGGTACTGGCTGTTAGTTTGAGTGTGAAGTTTTAGGTGTTACGGTGGAGGGAGGGAATGAGGATGCCGTGATTTTGAATGTTGAAATTGTCAAGCCCTAAAGTGATGTTGGGAAGAGAAGAGGTCGCTGGTTTTTATTTTGTTATGTAAATGATTGAGTTGATGGAATAAATGTGTAAATATTTATTAATGAAGCTTATGTATTGACTAAATATAAATTGTTGTTGCAGGTTAGTATGAAATGAATTTCAATAATGGGATAAGTTACGGGAAGGAATTGTTATATTACATCCACATTAGTGGATATTTTGAAGCAAGTGATAAAGGGGGAGTTAAATATGTTGAAGAGAGTGTAAGGGTCATCGGTATAAAAGAATGTACAAATACTAGAGGAGTTGTGTGGAATAATATCACAATGGATAGACAATAATGGTAGTGGATATGAGATTAAGTATAAAGTCAAGTTTGATGAGAGTGCATTGACTGATGTTTATGATGATGGTGATATCTCCAATTTGTTTAGATATAATGACAATAGTGCTCATATGTATATAGGAGGGAAAAGGAATGACAGGGAATCTAGAGCAATGGATGATACAGACATATAAGTAATTATGTTTTTTAATTGAATGTTGTTATTTGCTAATAGATTGTTTCTACTTCATATAAAAATGTTGTAATTATGCTAATGGTATTGTTGTCCTAAGTTGTAATTTCTATATCCAAACTTGTTATTAGTAGACATATCATTTCCATTTCTAAACTTATCATTTAGATATGCAAACTTTTTATTTGACTAAATAGTGGTTTTCATATCTAAACTTGTTATTTTACTTACTAAAGTTGTAATAACCATGACTTGTTATTTAGATATGCAAACATGTTATTTTGCTAACCAATTGTTTCTATATGGAGACTTGTAATTTGGCTTACTAAAGTTGTAATTACCATATGCGGACTTGTTATTTAATTATGCATACA